AAGTGCACAGGGAAGGTACAGAGAAGTTGTGCAGGTAATTAGGTCTGCCATGTGGACAAGGGTTAGGCTTGCATCCCAGGAAGAGAGGACATGATACTAGTAATGCAAATTGAGAGCTGGAACCCAAGATACAAAGGAAGGAAGAGTTAATAGATAAGTTAGTTAATACTGGTTGAGTTCATAGGACTAATGGCCTTTTGTGCTATAACAATAATTTGGATTTTTATCCTGTGAGACAGTAACTCTGTCCTCAGAGTACATTGCAGTCAGTCAGGAACCTTATTGAAATGCAGATTCTTGGGTCTCTCTACTAATGATTCTAATTCATTTGGTCTGAATTCCAAGTATTGTGATTTTAACAAGTTCTCCAGATGGTTGTGGTGAAGACAGTGGATCACACTTTGAAAAACTGCCAGGTGAAATATGGCACTAATAAGGCAAAAGAAGGAGCTGACTTGGTCTAGGCACTGGGGGAATGGCTTGAACTTAGGGAAAACAGGGTGAGGGAGGAGAAACCATGGATATCACAGAGAAGAAGCAGTCCCAGGTAGAAGCTCTGAACATAATATCTGATGCCCACTTGTTCAATAGCTTATAATTGAACCTAAATTTTCTACAGTGTCATTTCTGTCTGTAATCAGTCATGGAAGAGAAAATACATGAAGAAATTCACTACCACCTGAATTTTTCCACTATCCTTTGGGGTTGAGGCTCTTAAATCAAGAGGAAACATCCGACTTCAATTGCCACTCCTTGCCAGCACATGACAGAGTTCACCCTCCCTGCTCACCGTTCTCCTCAATGATCTCAAATCCAAATCCTACTAAATATGCTTGGATCTGCGAATAATTCTAGCTGGATTGAAAGCATGTGGACACTTTATAAGACATTTCCTAGAGAATTTTTGCTTCTAAGTCCTCTAACACCTAACAGGAACTAGAGCACTTAGGCAGAATTTGAATAAACTTCACAAGAAGTTGCCAAGTCTATGTTCCTTTTCCAGATGGAAAAGAGCCTCTTGTTTTCCTATCCCTGATTTATACAAAATGCAGAACATGACAGAGACCTGCGACCCGAACAGGCAGCAGGAGACAGGAGCTGGCCTCATATGCACCTTCCTCCAAAGTGACCTGGAATAGATTCTGTCCCGCTTTTGAGTTGCCCCATCCTAGTTGGATCCAATGTCAGTTGAAGCTTTCATTGTTTTTCTCTGGCAGATTCTCTTACTTGGCACAACATGTAGATACTTTAGTAGACTCAGAGTGCAAAATGTTTTATTTCTAATGTTTGATGGAAATATTTCAGGAAACATTTTGATTGGAAGGAGAAACCAGACTGTGGAATCAGTTTTTTTGCCATACACTAGTAGAGCAAAGTTTTGCTTAAATCTTGCTTTTGAGTTCTCTATGGGTATAGTAGGAAGAGCCCTGGGTTGGGGTGAGTCATGTTACCTGAGTGTTAATCTTCACTCTATTATTAACTAACAATGTGAGCTTGAGCAAGTCACTCTTCAGGATCTGTGATAAATTGGGCTTTCTGAGAAACAGCTTTGAGACTCTAAGTTTTGTGTGCATGAGGTTAAGGGGGTATATTCTCAATATCTATGAGGAATGAAGGATGAAATATTGGACAGAGGGTGAATTGGGGCTGCAATGTCATTGGCCCTTCAGGCTTGTTTACTTTGAGGCTAGAGGGACAGCTTTCACATCTAACCCTTCTACCCACTGCATCAACCATTGAATTTGAGTTATACCCGGATAAGGATGTGACTGGGGAAAGGCAGAGCTCTTCTAAGGAGCACAGTTTTCAAGGAGGGATCCAATTAGGACTATTTCTAGAAAATTCTGTTTTGAAGGGAGGAAGATATGATCAGTACACCACAGTTTCCACTGTCATTCCTTAGTTTCCACATTCATCCTCAGTAATGTGATTGAATGGGCTAGATAATACCTGTATCAGTTACCTGTTGCCACAATAAAGGTATATAGAAAAGACTCATAGCCTTTATAATAATAACAAACATTCATTTAGTTACAGATCTGAAGGGTGTAGCTGATCTAGATTGGGCTAGGTTGGGTTTGCTTACACATCTGCTGCTGGCTATAGGTTGGCTAGGTGAGTCTGCTGATATTTGCTGGGCTTACGTATGCTGGGAGTCACCTAGCTGTCAGCTCTGAATTGCCTTGGCTGAGACGAGATGAAGGCAAATCAGCTTGATTTATCCTCTAGCAGGCATGGCAGTGGCAGAGGCAAGAACCATCCAAATATGCAGACCTCATTTCTGTCTTCTACAGTGTCAGCTGTGCTGATGTTTCATTGGCCCAAATAACTGGCAGGTGAACTCACAGTCAAGACATCTCAACCTGTTCACTATAACAGGAAGTGCAATTACTGGGCAAGGATACAGGTTACGGGAGAGGTGAAAAATTGGTGCTATATTAAAAATCTACTACAATCCCTAACTTCCTTCCATCTCAGCCTTTCATTGGATTTTGTGACTTTATCTGTTAGACCCTAAAAATGGTCTAATTTGGGTTCTAATTAGGAACTTGAATTCTGTCCAGGTTACTAATCTCTGAATCTAGCACCTAACCCAGAACCAATTCAAAACGCTAGTGATGAGTAATAAGTTGAATGAATAAAAGCAAAAAAGAATGTGTTCGGAATTTAAGATTGTAATTTTAAATGTAAGATAAAATCGGCGTTGTAAAGTCTTAGAATATCAGTTGTTAAGGGAATTTTAAAGAATCAGCCTTTTAATGATTTTCTTTATTATTATTATTCACAAAGAAAAACATGCACTTTCCACTTCATCTCTCCCATTTCACTTCCACTATTACCTGCTATGTGTCTGTCTGGACCTCTTGCTGTGTATATTCCGATTCGACTGTATTTTCTTTTGACTGTATTTTCTTTTGCTTTACTTCTTTTTAACCCCAAACAGTCACATCCTGTTTTTATTCTGCAACTCGCTTTTTATACTGAACAAGACATACTAAAAATAAACAAGTGTGTTTTTATATAACATGAATCTGACAATTTTTAAAGATTAATTTATATTTAGTTAATGATGACAAAAATGTACAACTGGAAAATAGTTTACTTGGCTGAGACATGCCATTTTTTATGTTTCAGTCAGCACCGGGTGGTGTTGGTATGGGCTCTCAGTTCCTGTGCCTGTGGACTCCCTCCAGAAAGCAATGTTGTAACTTTGGGGAGGAAAACAGATTCTTTTCCCCCTCATTGTGATATTTTCTTAGAGAAATCCAGGTCCTTATTTATATTTTTTTCAATTTTTCTAATCAAACAAACCAAAGTATTAGTCAAATTATAATTGTCTCCTTTTTATCAGAAAGAGTAATATATAATGTACTGTTTAGTACAATAAGAAATAAGCTTCCATACAGTTGACACAACCTCCTATCTGCTACATTGTGGTTGTTTCTACTGTAATACTGTTCAGTGGATATTGATGTTGGTAACAGACTCTCTTTGTTAATATTCTCGTTATCACATATTTGCTAATTTTTTTTCACATTCACTTTTAATACAGAGAATTATTTTTATGATAAAAAGGTGAAAAAATGTTTTATGAAACACTATGACTTGTTTGAGAGCGAATAAGTAAATACAGATGCTTTTTACCTTATGATGGAGTTATGTCCTGATATACCCATTATAAGTCGAAAATAGAATCTGAGTCAAAAATGCATTTTACTGCCAGGCTCGGGGATCCACGCCTATAATCCCAGTGGCTGGGGAGGGGGAGGCAGGAGGATCGCAATTTCAAAGCCAGCCTAAGCTAGCCTCAGCAATGGCGAGGCGCTAAGCAACTCAGTGAGACCCCATCTCTGAATAGAATACAAAATAGGGCTGGGGATGTGGCTCAGTGGCTGAATGCCCTGAGTTCAATCCCTGGTGGTATCTGCCTCCCCCAAGCCTCTGCAATCTATTTTATAAATATAACTACCAAAAATCTAAGCTATGGCGTGTAGCTCAACAACATAGTATGCGGCAGTGTCTGTTGTTTGGCCTCATAATTGCATGGCTGACTGGGAGCTGTTGCTTGCTTCTGATGCCCAGTATCATGAAATGAATACCAGGAAAAGATTAAAATTCAAACTTCAAAATATGGTTTCTACTGAATACATTCCCCTTTAACAGCATCATAAAGTTGAAAAGTCTTTAAGTCAAATCATTGTAAATTAAGCCTGTTTGTAAAGTTGCCCTGTATTTGGAAATGTTAAAATGCCTTTCAGACAAAGAAGTTCCGTGTAAAGGGGCAGCTACCCTGATTGTCATGCTTTCCATTAGCCCAGTGACACCTTCAGGATCCATTCTGAATTATGATGATTTATTTATCCTAGGGTTTGATGATTGAGAAAATACATAATGATTAAAGACTTAATAAATTCAGTCATATTTTGCTTACAATCGTATTAACTTACACAACTTGTATTATGAATAGCTTGACTTCTTTGGGGAGTTAAGACGAACCTGTGACTAAGTTTGAAAATAGCCTTTTTAATTTTTCTCTATAGTTATAATTTGTTTACTGAGTACCAGAGTTAATTTTGTACTAAAAAAAGAGGAACATGCACACAGGTTTCAGACTCAGAATTATGTTTAATGGAAATAAAACTTAACAAAAGTGGGTGAATCTAGTTCCCTGGTGATCCAGGGTGAAAACTTATTCCCTGGGGGAGGTGACTCAGTGGCTTCACTCTTGCTTTCCCCTTCTGAGTCTCTATGAACAGGATGGACAGAGATGGGGCTTTATCCTCTTAGAAGAGTGGCTTTCAAAACTAGCTTATTTACTCATGTGTTTTTTTTATATGTTTATTATTTCACCCTGGAACCTACATTCACACACAATGTGAGTTGAAGATCTAAAATAAACCAAGAGTGGTCTGATGAGAGCTGGATGGAGTCTAGAGCCTCCACCTATTCCCTTCCTGTATCACCACACCCACATTTATTCACATTTCATTTGCCTTAAGATAATGAGAAACCCATGCATGTGGTGCATGATGAAGACCTGGTAGACCAGCATCTCATCAGCGAGCTAAGGAGAGAATATGGAATGACCTACAATGACTTCTTCATGGTACTGACAGATGTGGATCTGAGAGTCAAGGTACAGATTCTTGTTGTGTTTGATGTGGTTCCATTCCTTAAATAACAAGGATGATTTTTTTTTCTTTCTTTCTTTTTTTTTTTGGTCAATGAGTCCATTCGATGTATGAGTAAGCACAAATTATTTCTTAGATGGAAAAGTTTTGAAATGGCCCAAATATTTTCAGTTGCCCCATGAATTTGCATTCAGAAATGTTCCCTCCGGAAAGTCTGGGTTGGAGTGACCTCCAATGGCCCAGCTATTTGACTCAGACTAAATTCTTCTCTAACATCAATGTTGTGCATTCATCAGACACTTGTTGAATAGCTGTGGTGTTTGTTCCAAGCCCTGGGGATAAAAGGTGAAAAGTGGTTTCTGCCTTCAACAAATCCATGTTTAACATAGGCCTCTTTTGGAAGGATCTGGAAGTTTACCTCTTGATCCAACTTGGACAAGACTTTAGGATTTCACACCTACTTTCTTTCTGAGCTGAGGGACAAAGTTTCTGAATCATGAAAACCTGTGCTATGTAGCAATAATAGTAATAATAAAATTGCTAACTTTATCGAGTACAGTTCTTATGGTAACACTAGGCTCAATCCTTTGCAATCCTCATCTCAAACGTCTAAGATAAATACTAGCATTATTTTTGTTTCATAGAGAAACAAACAGGCCAGAATGGATAAATAACTTGTCCAATTGTACTCAGTGATGGGCCTGATACCAGAGACTGGCTCCAGAGCCCAATGTCTTAATCATTCTAGTAGATTGACAGAGAAAAATTGTTGTCTGGACTATCAGAATAACTGACTAGATTTGCAGTGTTTGTCTGAATTTAGGGAGAAATCACTTCAACAATTCATTCTGTATATGTGTTGCCCCATATCTAAAATGAGAGTTTGGATGATATGATCTTCATGGTGAATTCCCTTGATGTTGCGGCTCCATGCCACATCCAGACTGCTCTCCAGTTTATGCCGGTGATGCTCATCCAGCTCCTGAATCTATCTCAGGTTGCTTTTGTATGTCCAGACTGCTGTGATCCAGGAAACTGAATTTCATGTCTTTACATTGGATCCCAACTTGTTTCTGAGAATACATAAGCACACATGGCCTAATATTAAGTGTTGCTCCATCAATAAAACAATCCCTGGGACCACAAGGCAGGCCATGGTGGGAACAAGTTCACATATTCTCAACACGTCATTCCATTTGGTTTCCTGTGTTATGTGCAGTGCTTCTCACTTTCCTGATTGTATATTGAATAACCAACTTAATCCCAGGAGCAGGAAAGCAAACCCAGGATTTGGGGAGGGAGGGATGCAGTCAAGAAAGTAAGTGTGGCAGTTGCTTCATAGACTCTGAGCCTCAGAAACATCAGCAGAGGGTACACTGCAGGAGAGTGTTTATAGATCAATGAGCCCTCCAGGTCTAACTGAAAGGATTTCCCTAGAACGCCCCTGAATACTCCAATTCTCTGTGCATTGAACAGAGTGAAAAAAAAAAGCACCTATACAGTCCATGCACTCTGTTTTTTCTTAAACAGCAATACTATGAGGTGCCGATTGCAATGAAGTCTGTGTTCGATCTCATCGATACTTTCCAGTCCCGAATCAGAGATTTGGAGAAGCAGAAGAAGGAGGGCATTGTTTGCAAGGAAGACAAGAAGCAGTCCCTGGAGAATTTCCTATCCAGGTAAATCACCTTCGCAGTCCTGGAAGAGGCAGGTACAGATTTGTTCTAAATGAACTAATGAAAATGCCAAAGAAACACAGGGCCACTCATGTTTCCAGAGTGACCCTCCCTGGAGAGAGGCCGTCTGTCCTACAGTGGGCTGGCTGCTAGGCTTAGTCTTCCTGTTGAAAGTAGCTGGCTGGGTTCAGCTCCAAGCGTGAACATTGATTTTATGGTTTTGGATAGATCTTTACTCTCTTTTTTCTGTTCCTCTTTGGTACAGAATATGGAATTCTGAACTGTGAAGATTAATTTTATTCAGCAGTTAATTTAGAGAGCTCTGTTATAGCATTTTAATTTTACATATTTATTTGTTAGGCCCCTTCTGGTTCTAAACAGCACACTGTCCTTGATTTTCTCCTTCTTACAATGCCAGCAACCAACAAAAGCCCCACAAGACCTCAAAAGGAGAAATCTTCTTGACCCACATCCCTGACTCTCCAGGGAACGTCGTTTATGAAAAACTTTTTACCGCAACCCCCATATAACTGGGGAAGGAACATACCCAGATTAAAGTGTTTAAAAAAATCTAATTTCCTCTCTTCTCCGTTTCTCCCCAATGCTTAAAAATTCTATAGGGACGTTAGGCCCTAGAAAGTGTAAAACTGCCCAAATCCACCACCAACAAACAAGTTCCCAGAGAACTCAGTATAAACACCACCCAACTGTACTGTGTGGCCAAGGGGTTCCAGAAATGAAGTTAGCTTTGCCAAGAGGCTCAGTGTTGAATGTATATCACTTAGGCGGAAGCACATTTTCCACACCCTATCAAGAATTAGATGATTAATAGATAATCTAAATTCCTATAGGTTCAGGAGGTTTGGGTGTCTTAGCACTTAACATCAATGTAACAATATAATTTGGCCAGTATCATTCCCCAGCATTTCTCCCTGTGCTCATTTTTTGGGTGCTCATCTCTGTGCCAAGCATTTCACTTTCATTCCCTAATTTAATCTTCAGTATAATCCCATGATCCATAACAATCGTTACATTACAACTGAAGCTAATGAAGATAAACAACTTTCTCTAATCTCAGAGCTAGAGTTAATTACAGGAGTCAGTGGCTCCAGGACAATCTGATTTCCAATATCTACCTTTTTATCTTACGCTCCTTTTGAAAATATAATGTGAATTATTTTTAGTTCTGAATCTAGAGGTCCAGAGTTTGAAGTGAAGGAAGACACTCTTAAAATCACAGGATTTCAGAACTGAAAGGAACCTGAGACTTCCTTAATCCAGATTCTCAGTCCAGTGCAAATATCCCAGATAGAAATGGAAGGGGGTACCTTCATTAATACTTAAGCCCAACCCAGCCTTCAGCCACTCTAGGCTGAGAAAGGGCTCAGGGTTCCACTGAACAGATGACTTTTCTTCAAGTTCTGGGGCACTGAGACATAACAATCAATGTTAAATATATTCATGTTATAACTTGAAGACCTCAGTTCTCTCTTTAACTTTTAAGTTAAAATTTATTTTTTTATTTATAACCCAGCACATGTTGGCTACCACATTTAAGAGGACTTTGCTATTGTTTACAAATCCAGTATAGTTTAATCATTTCACAGACCCATTATACATTTATTTCTTTTAATTATTTGAAATACACAACCCAAGCCTCTGAGTATTTAAATGATATTTAACTTTAATAAGTTAACTTATAGATACAGGGAATCTAAAGTTTTCTTAGATGTTCTGAAACTGTGTACAGTTAGTAAGATCTCAACTTAAATTACACTTCCTAACCAATTATTCAGATACACATTGTAATTTGAATTTTAAGGTTGTCATTTTATTAGACCAAATGTTTTTAAGCTATACAAGAACATAAATTGTAAGTATAAAAAAGAATCTTTTTAAAATATATGATAAAGTGTATCCACATTTATAAATACATATTCTTAAATATATATCATATAAATATATAATTATTATGATTTTGATTCTTTGGCAACTTTTTCATTTTAATTTTGAAATTAAATCTTTTCACTCCTAGGAGTGAAAGATGCAAACCTATTGAAATACAAATCTCCAGGTAAACTCAGTTGCCCACTCTCTAAAGCAGATACCTATCATCTAATTCATTGATGTTACTTAAAACCAAAGATTTGGGGCAGTTTTGAGACCTGCAGCTACAGGCATCTTATGGGATTCTTTCACCCTCTCCAGGGAGAGTATTTTTTTTTAATAATCATTATGTCAAGGATTTCAAAATTTTAAAGGAAAGGTGACATTACCTTGATTTTGTTCATTCACAAAAGCTTACATTATTACCCAGATTGGTCATTGGCTTGAATTTGGCATTTCTTTGATTTTTATGACATGTACAAATATTTTGCATCTACAGTCTTTTAACATAGATGGGGTCCTAAAATATGCCAAGGTATTTTCCATCTAATTTAAGAGCCTTAAAAACTTCTCCAGTCATTACTGTTTCAGGAACATTTGCCTACTATGGATATTCAAGATGGCATTTGATTTTAACTTAATTGTCCCATGGTGGCCACAACTCACGATATTATTCTGCTGATAATTATCATTGATCTTAAAAATTAAAATGGAATAGCATATTACTAAAGGAGTGACCAAGACATCCCTGAGTTGGAATCTTGGTTTTCAACTCACTGTGTGTGACCTTGGGTGAATTAAATACTCTGGGATTTTGCAAAATAATAAGTGTGTCTATTCTTAAGATTGCTGTGATGGATAAATTCAATATTAAAGGTAATGATGGCCTAGGACCTAGCACAAAGTAAGTATTCAGTAAGTGCTAGCTAATAGTGGTACTAGGGTCAGTTAATTCAGCTCCTATTAGAGAATTTTGTCATTAAAGGAGAAGTGAGAGAGATTCGGTAAATACTTGAGAATTGAAACAAGGCCAAGAGAAATGAAATAAACAAAGTGGTTCTGTGAATACCAGTATCCAAATGGGAATTTTCCTTCAAATGTGCTGAGTTGTTGGTGAGTCTGCACAGTCTGGTTTCAGCTGACCAGACCCTGAAGCCAGTCTGGTCTTTAGCAATCCTCATTTGGTTCGGGCTATAATTACCTTTTCCTGAGACAGAAGCCCCAAAGAGTGGGCATATGCACACTAAATTGGGAATGCCAGCTAAGAGAAACGAATATATGCCTAGCTTGTAGGATTTTTATTTACCGAAAAGCTAAAGTGACAGAAAAACAATTTTTCCAAAATAAGGATCTGGGTCCAGTTCACATCTCTCAGTTGCATGTGTTGAAGTTATTTCCTTCAGTGTCGCGTATTGGGGCCTTGTATCCTCATGTGAAGGTCTGTGGGAAGAATGATGATCATTACCTGGGGGAAATGACTTCTGTCAGTTGTGTCTGGGACAAGGAATCTCAGCTCCCATCCCTCTCCCATCAGGACTACACTCAGTGGTGCACACAGGTAAACAAGCCAAAATAGACTTCACCCAAAATAGCTCCCTCCAGGACACCCTACTGCACTGCGTGAGGCCAGGAAGGCTGGCCTGGTTGGGATCCTGGCTGGGGACCAGTGCTGGTCTGGCATGCCTCCTAAGGAAGCAGGGAAGTACAGGAGACCGTGTTTGTGACCCGACAGCCTTCACTGTTCCTTTTCCCAGGAAACTTCGGACAGTCTCAGATACTCTTTACCTTTCCTCTGTGCCAAAAACATTCATCTCTTTATCCTCAGTGGAGATTTGAGTTTTTCTTTCCCTTTGAAGAAAAACAAGCAGAGGAAGCAAATGTAATGTCACAGCAAGCAATTCTTGGCAAGCCTTGCGACAGCCATCCATTCAGAGGTTGTATTTTGTCAGACTATCATTTTCTCTCATTCTCCCAAACCACCGTTCCCCCAAGAGGCCATTTTTTTCAGAGTTGAAAATTCTCATGTTCACTCTGAAACTAGAAGGGGCAGGGAAGAAGCTGTGAATAAAATCATCTGGCTGCCAGCTTGGTGAAGTGCCTAACGCCCTGTGGTCATTTGCACTGAAGGCAGAAGACACTCTCCATCTTTCATACCTCATTGGGGACCCTGAGAGTGCTAGCTAAGCGTCACCTCGGTGGGTGGCAGACTAGGGAAACCACTAGACCAGGCGGCATAGAAATCTATATTTTGGTACCACCTGAGATTTGCCAGTTGGGAAAGTTACTTACTTCTTTAAGTGTCATTTTGTCCTCTGTGAAATGGAGGAAATACAGTATGCTCTCTTTGACCCTGGTGAGGAACTTACTGTGTGGTGAAAGTGAGCTATAAAATGCTTTACAGTCATAAGAATTGAATAGGTTTTCATATGGCATTGCAATAGATAATGTCTAAGGTCTGTCAGTAGATAAAATTCTATCATCAGGAGCCTGCAAATTTTGATATGCTCTTCTACACCCATGTTATTGTGTGGATAAGTCACACTGTTAGGTTTTGGAGTTTAATTCTTGTAACATTCCTTTGAAGTAGACACTGATATTTTCAGTTCTAGACTAGGGAAAAATGGAGACCTAGTGAATTGTGTGACATACTAAGGATACCCCCAAAAATAGTAGTGAGAAACTTGAACTCAGGTTTCCCAGCTTCAAGACAAGAGCTCTTTCTACTATCCTACCATGTCAGAGCTGTAAGAGCATAAGTCAAGTTTACTATTATATATCCTAAAATCCTCTGGCGCAGGGTTTAACACCTTTCCATGTCATAGGAGTACTCTGTGTTGACTCTTATTAATGATAAGAAGGTAAATTTTAGACCTGCATTTGCTCTGGAAGAACCACTGGCTCCTGAGGAGGGTATATGATGTTTTGCTTTTTAAGGAACCCTCTTTGACCCTTTGAGCAGCTTTTCCATTTCTCTACTTTCTGTCACTATCATCTACTTAAAATTCAGTTGTCATTCTCTCCTCTGTTTCTTGTCCACATATTTTTTAACCCCTTATAAGCCTTTGAAGGAACTGAGCCAGGACTTGAGTTCTCTTCATTTTTCTTCTGTGTTCCTTACTTCTGATGCTACCGTTTAACATCCAGTTTTAGCCAGTTTTCATTACATTTGAGAGCTTTGTTCTCTGCAAGTGACCTCATCAGGCAAGTGACCTCATCACCATTGACTCATATGTGACCCATCATACAAACACTGAAGTAGGCAGACTGTGAAGATACAACAGAAAAAGTTCAAGAATGTGGTAATGCAGCTTAATTTGAGAATTCCCAGGACAGTTTTGTGGGTCAGTGATTTTTATTCTGGGCATGGAAAAAACTGACAGCTAGCGTTATGTTGCAATCTTATACTGGCATCTATTGTTTGAAGCAGTGGCCCTAGCCTTGTGCTTCTGTTCCAGGTTCCGATGGAGGAGGCGTTTGCTGGTGATCTCTGCTCCCAATGATGAAGACTGGGCTTATTCACAGCAGCTCTCTGCCCTCAGTGGTCAGGCATGCAATTTTGGTGAGTGGGGAGTCACCTCATTTCTGCTTTCCATACCACTCTTTTTCTGGTCAATTCTGAAAAATAACACAGACACTTAGATCATCCAAATATTCCCCAGTCCAGTCTGCAGATTCCCAGACACATGCTCCATTATATTGAATATAAAGTTGCCTTCAGACTGGAGCTTTAGTCAATTATAGAATTTTTTCTTTTAATGTTCCTCATTAAGGTATTTGAAAATATCTAAATATCTACTTCTTTACTTTTGAGGATCTTTACTGTTTGTTGTCTGATTATGTTTTTTAATAAACATATCTAGATGGTAAAGCCTAGATATCATTATTTATTTTGGTAATATTTGGGTATTTACTTAGGTACCATTACTGGATTCTTCTTCACAGATTAAATATCTTCTGTAAACTAGGAATAGCTTTGTGAATGTATATATTAATTAAAGCAGACTATACTCTTACCTTTCCCTTAAAAAGGATTTTGATCTATACCTGGACACTAAAAAGACAGAAAGATCTGTTAAACAGAACCTTGTTTTAAATCCAAACAGGTCACAAAGAAACACAGTTTACTGTTCATTTGTAGTGAATTGCTCAGTATTTTGAAAACAAAGAGATAACATTATTTACCAAACATTATTATACTAGTGGGCTGAGTATGGACATATAGACAGTACAAAGCACAATACATACAATTTAGTACTAAGTTCAGTGGTGAACTTAGAAGATGATAGCAATTTCAAAAATGGAAGTCACATATGTGCTATGCATCTGCACAGGGGAAATTAGGAGTTACTAGGGACATAGGGGAAAAGAGGAAGTAGTTAAAGGTCACAGATTAAAAAGTTCATAAATAGAACATAGATGAATCAGCATTATTTTGATACTCTATTTTTTTGCGGTACTGGGGATCAAATCCAGGGCCTTATGGATGCCAGGCGAGTACTCTGCCACTAAGTCACACCCTCAGCCCTTCTAAGTTTTATTTTGAGACAGGGTTTCTTGCTAAATTGCTGAAACTGACCTCAAAATTAACAATCCTCCTGCCTCAAACTCCCCAGTAGCCACCATTCTTGGCTTTATTTTAATACATCTATTAGGATGAAGAATCATTAGTTAATTATAAAACTACTTAATTTAAAAAAGGATGTGTTTACTGGCCAGAGCAATTAGACAAAAGAAATTAAAGGGATACATATAGGAAAAGAAGAACTCAAATTAGCACTATTTGCTGATAACATGATTCTATACTAGAAGACCCTAAAAGTTCTACTAAAAAACTTCTAGAACTAGTAAATGAATTCAGCAAAGTAGCAGGATATAAAATCAACACCCATAAATCAAAGGCATTTCTGTATATCAGTGACAAATGCTCTGAGAAGGAAATGAGGACAACTACCCCATTTACAATAGCCTCAAAAAATAAAATAAAATATTTGGGAATCAACGAAAGAGGTGAAAGATCTATATAATGAAAATAAGAGAACCCTAAAGAAAGAAGTCAAAGAAGACTTAGAAGATGGGAAGATCTACCTTGCTCTTGGATAGGCAGAATTAATATTATCAAAATGACCATACTTCCAAAAGCACTATACAGATTTAATGCAATTCCAGTCAAAATCCCAATGACATACCTCATATCAATAGAAAAAGCAGTCATGAAATTCATTTGGAAAAATAAGAGACCCAGAATAGTTAAAGCAATCCTTAGCAGGAAGAGTAAAGCATGTGGCATCACTATACAAGACCTTAAACTATACTACAGAGCAATAGTAACAAAAACAGCATGGTATTGACACCAAAAACAGACTGCTAGACCAATGGTACCGAATAGAGGACACCGAAACTAACCCACAAAATTACATTTATCTTATATTAGATAAAGGTGCCAAAAACATGCATTGGAGAAAAGAAAGCCTCTTCAACAAATGGTGCTGAGAAAACCGGAAATCCATATGCAACAAAATGAAATTAAACCCCTATCTCTCACCATGCACAAAACTCAACTCAAAATGGATCAAGGACTTAGGAATAAAACCAGAGACCCTGTGTCTAACAGAAGAAAAAGTAGGCCCTAATCTCCATCATGTGGGATTAGGCCCCAACTTCCTTAATAAGACTCCTGTGGCACAAAACTTAAAATCAAGAATCAATAAATGGGATGGACTCAAACTAAAAAGTTTCTTCTCAGCAAAATAAACAATCAGTGAGGTGAATAGAGAGAGTACATCTTGGGAGCAAATCTTTACTCCTCAGACATCAGATAGAGCACTAATCTCTAGGGCATATAAAGAAATAAAAAAGCTAAGCACCAAAAAAATAAATAACCCAATCAATAAATAGGCCAAGGACCTGAACAGACACTTCTCAGAAGAGGATACACAATCAATCAACAAATATATGGAAAATGTTCAACATCTCTAGCAATTAGAGAAATGCAAATCAAAACCACTCTAAGATTTCATCTCACTCCAGTCAGAATGGCAGCTATTATGAAGACAAACAACAATAAATGTTAGCAAGGATGTGGGGGAAAAGGTACACTCATATGCTGCTGGTGGGACTGCAAATTGGTGTAGCCAATATGGAAAGCAACATGGAGATTTCTTGGAAAATTGGGAATGGAACTACCATTGACCTACCTATCCCTCTCCTTGGTCTGTACCCAAAGGACTTAAAAAAGCATACTACAGGGACACAGCCACATCAATGTTTATAGCAGCACAATTCACAATAGCTAAACTGTGGACTCAACCTAGATGCCCTTCAATAGATGAATGGATAAAAAAAATGTGGCATATATACACAATGGAATATTATTCAGCAATAAGAGAATAAAATCATGGCATTTGCAGGTAAATGGATGGAGTTAGAGAAGATAATGCTAAGTGAAGTTAACCAATCCCAGAAAACCAAATGCCAAATGTTTTCTTTGATATAAGGAGGCTGATTCATAGTGGGATAGGGAGAGGGAGCATGGGAGGAATACACAAACTCTAGATAGGGCAGAGGAGTGGGAGGGAAAGGGAGGGGACATGGAGTCATTATTATCCAAAGTACATGTATGAAGACACAAATTGGTGTGACTATAGTTTGTATACAACCAGAGATATGAAAAAATGTGTTCTATATGTGTAATAAGAATTGTAATGCATTCTGCTTTCATATATAAATAAAAAATAAATAAAATAAAAAAAATGTATATTTAAGTTTTGTGGAGCATTATCAGGACCTGGTTCCTTGGTATAAATTTGTACCTGTAAAATTATAAGTACTTTTCAATTTTAAGATGTCAATTAACTCAAAAGAAAACAAAAAACTAGCTCAAAATGGTAAGAAAAATTCATGGATTTTTTACTCACGGTCCTGTTATCCAGGTTCATAATTTTAGACTTTGTATCAGCATATAGAAAATTCAGTTGTGCTAGTATTCTTAAGCATATTTAAAATTATAGTCCTCAATGGTGCAAGGTAAGACAGAAGTTCTTAGAACAGTTAATTACTTACCACAGTAAGCATATAAATAAAATCATGGTTTGCTAACTTTTTAAAGATGCCTTTGCAGTAACTACTAGGTGGTGTTTTATTTTTAATCTCTGTGCACAAAGCTGGTCCCACATCAAACCCTTTTGTAATATCCAGGAAATGTGAACAAGTTATATTTTCCAGGAATGATTAAATTCATGATATTTCCTTTTGAAATATGACTCACAATATTTAGACTAGAATGCTTCACCTCTCTGGGAAAAGGGTAAAGGCAAAAAGAAAAACATAAAATTGTGAATAATAACATTTCATCTTGATTTTGGCTCTTTAACAAAAGCCTTCCCAAGGCAGCTTTTAATTTTCGCCCCTGAACAATAAATACCATCAATAATCTTATTATTAGCTCCAAGTTATTACTCTGAGAATTTGTCTAAATTCTTGACATGAGGATTTGACAACCTCTTTGTCTTCACAGTTTCTTTTTTTTCTTTCTTTCTTTCTTTCTTTTGTCCCCTAGGGCTCTTATGTTGAGACAAGGGCTCCTAAGTTGCTCAGGGCCTTAAGTCACTGAGGCTGATTTTGAACTTTCTATTCATCTGTCTTAGCCTCCAAAGCCACTGGGATTACAGGCGTGCACCACCATACCCAACTCATTTTCCAATTTTCTTTCTTCTGAATCTCTTCACATGCATTTCATCTTCAAAAATATTTCAACAAGCTAATAAGGCCTGACCATCTATCTCTCCATCCCTGAAACTTTCGCTGAGGATGTGAAGGCTCCCTTGCATCTTCCAAATAAGTGATAAAAACTTGCAAGTTAAACTAACAAACTATTTCAGGATTAAGCAGGGCTAGTTCTTTAACCATCCTGATAGATGGAACCTGCAGTCTTTTCTCAAATAAAATTATCTAATAAAAGCTATTATCACTTTAGGTTCAACTTTTTTCAGAAAACTAATCAGCTTAGATTGCAGACTTCAGATATTTTAATGTTTCAATGTTCATTTTCTTCATTTAATAGTAAGAATGACAGTTATAGAACAGATTCTTCCATTTCAATCTATAGCCCCCAATCTGATTCTTGTTACTCCTAAAATCAGCAATTGGTCCCTTTTCAAGGTTTTAAAAGTACTCCTTTCTTATGGATAAAATTAAAATAGATTAATTCTGCTTGGTTGTATTTTTATATTCTTTTTAAGAGATTTTGAATTGTTAGCTATCAGGTCCTTGGCAGTAAAAGATATCTTAGAATTCATTCCTCTAACTTGTGTCTTTCTTTTTTCTCTCAGGTCTGCGCCACATAACTATTCTAAAGCTTCTGGGCATTGGAGAGGAAGTTGGCGGAGTTTTAGAACTATTCCCGATTAATGGTAACATGAGATTTTAAAATAATATGAATGAGTGTTAAGTTCAGTTAAATCATATTAAGTTAAATGCAAGCAGTAGATATACCTCAAAGATGAACAAAGTTTCCTCTGTGTGTGTTGTGTGCATGTGTGCAAGCACGGGTGTGTGCGCAGGATACGTGTAGGGGAAGGGGGTGGAATGAAAGGACAAATATTGTTTCTAATATAAAATCCTTCAAAGTAAAAGTAAAAATACCCATTTTCTCAACTAAAATAGCAGTTTTTTTTTTGTTTTTTGTCTGCGTAAGGCTTTATGGTTTAGACAGCATTTTCTTTTTGGGTTATTTCTCAAAATAGTTTTATGACATAGGTCATATTTCCTTGCTTCCCATTCAACAGATAAGGAAATAAAAAAGCTTAGAGAAGCTGAGAGAAAATGACTATTGACTGAAGGTTTCAGAAAGCAAATCCAATCCTTCTAATCCTTCTTTCCAAGACCAACAAATCTTTAAATGAGATATGTGTAAACACCTGGCACAGTGCCCCACAGAGCAGATCCCTAGAAAATATTAGTCCTTTTTCTCTTCTTTCTTTTTTTGTCCACTCACCATAATACTTTAATTAAATTCATCCAGATTATAACATAATTAGTATTTTTCAAAGAAGTAAGGTATTTGTTATAAAGATGAGCATCAAAAGAAAAATTGTAATTGCAAAGAAGTCACTAAGCTGATTAGAAGTAGACTTAGAAACATGAATAATATCTTTGTTAGTGACAAATTTTAAAGAAGTTGATCTTGGGAAGACAATGTGTACCAGTTGCCTGAGGTGCACAGATATAAATTCAGGTCGATGGGCTTTGCTGTCAAATTTTTAAATTAAGGGATTGGTTTGATATTTTTAAACATTCCTACAAAAGAGGTGTCATGTGCCCCAAAGTTTGACATTAATAATGTTGCAGAACACTAGGAATACTTAATTTCTAGCAGGAAAAAAACCCAGATGAAACTTCTTTAATTGGATTTTGAGCTAAAGGGAAGAGGCTCTTGGACCTTCTCTCTATTCTCAGAGTGATTTCCTCTCACTTTGATGTTTTTATGAGCTCTGACTCTTTACTTCACTAACAACTATTCCAATGCTGTTCTAGGGAGCTCTGTTGTTGAGCGAGAGGACGTTCCTGCCCATTTGGTGAAAGACATACGTAACTATTTTCAAGTGAGCCCAGAGTACTTCTCCATGCTTCTAGTTGGAAAAGACGGAAATGTCAAATCCTGGTACCCTTCTCCAATGTGGTCTATGGTCATCGTGTATGATTTAATTGATTCGATGCAACTTCGGAGACAAGAGATGGCCATTCAGCAGTCATTGGGGATGCGGTGTCCAGAAGATGAGTACGCAGGCTATGGTTACCATAATTACCACCAAGGGTACCAGGATGGTTATCAGGATGACTACCGTCATCATGAGAGTTACCACCATGGATACCCTTACTAAATGGAAATATGTAACGTTATCCCCAGATTCCCCTAAAGTTGACAAGCCACACATGGCTAGCTACATAAGGAGTTCTTCCACACTGTCACATTCCCTGCCTATTTCTTTCAGTGTTCTTCCAAGACTAAATAAAAAGCAAATGTTCACCTACTCATGAGTTGTTACTGAAACTTCATTAATAGAAAAATTTGGAATAATTGTTTATCTAACTGGAGGGTATGTGGTGCTAAATAATGCAAATGGATATTATTTCCCATTTCTTACATAATGGAACTTACTTGCTATGCAAAATCCTATAAAATAAATATTTATACCTTCCCTCCTTTTTTTCACAGTTGAGCGAAAACTGTGATTATTAAAGACAATTAAACATCTCAGCACAAATGTCTTCAGGAAACATTTGGACAGAATAGAGAATATATAACATTTTTTGAAATGTCAGCCTGAAAATATATAAGATAGATTAGACTGTGTATGAGTTTCATTAAGCTTGATACCAAAGGCTAGAGAAAAAACAAACCTACCTTTGCTATAGACACTTCCTGCCTTGTTTCTGATATTTTTTTTGTGTCTGATTCAGAGAAAGAGAGACTAGGGGAGAGGGGAATCCTCACCGGAATCTGGCCAAAGATGATACTCATTCTTACCAGAGCATGGAATATCTAGGCCCCTTGTACTTAACTTGCTAAATGGGTCTATTGCCATACTGGATCTTAAAAAAAAAAAAAAAAAAAAAAAAAAACAAAAAAACTTGAAAGGAAGGATATTGTGTCCCAGGGTTCTTTTATTTTTAAAAGGAAATATTATCAAGTTATAGTGGATAAAAGTGCAGCTGGACTGCAAAAGGGTATAATTCTTGTCTTTGAAAAAGAACATTAATTTTTTTACATATAGCATGCCAAAGCAATTTTTTTTCTCCTTCTCTCTTTTCCTTCTTTCCTTGCTTTTTTTCTGCTTTTCTTTTATTTATTTCAATAAATATTTACCAAGTAATATTAGGCAATATTTATGAGATTACTTGCAGTCAGGCAGTCAGGCATCTAGCATCCGGAAGGCACCATCCTCTGTTAATTATGAGGAAGCTTATTGTTTGGCACTGTGGTTAAGAACTAATTTGCCAAATCACCTGGTATTGGTTTTTCCCTATAATGAGCACATATACTAATAGATGTGTTCAAGCCCCATGTAAATGTTTGCTATTAGCTCATATGTGCCAATTTATCTTTATATCATCTGTACTTTGTTATGAATAAATGATAGTAAAAGTGGAATTTGTTGCTCAATGAACTTCAGAAATTACTTGTTCTATTCCTCATTATCCATAAAGACCATTAATTCTGACTTGTTTTACAGGCAGTCAAGGTCCAGAAAGTTCAAGTGACATAAGAAACACAGTACTTTCAGTGTGTAAACTATGCTCTCACCTCACACCTCTCCCATGGTGGACAGCTTTCCTGTTCTTTCTAGACAATCTGTACCAGTTGCCTCAGGTGCACAGGTGGAAATTCAGGTCGATAGGCTTTGCTGTCAAATTTTTGTCAAGGTGAAACACAGTTTAAAATTGCCAATAAAATGGATTTCTTTGCCATTTCTTCTGAAATTGTAAGGACTAAGTAAGGCATCCAAATACTCTGAATTTCAGGAAACATAATAATGATGAAGTTTCATCTCCCAAGGAAATGAATTAGATAGGAATATTTAAAAATTTACTTACAAACTAATATTGAAAAAAATTCTAGTTCCTTTAACTAAAGAAAGACACTACTCTTTCATAACCTGAGATTCCTTTTTTAAAAAAGAATTCTCTGGTTTCACTAGGAAGCAATGAATTTAAACTTTCCCTTCTTCTAAATGAACGGGTTGAAAACTCATGAGTCATCATTTGAAGTGCTGTAGAATAAGCCACAGCTTAGCAGAGGGACCAGAACACAGAGGAAGATGCTGTTGTTGACCAATGTCCTTAAATTATATAATCTGGAAAATACAAAGTATATTTCAGAAAATGGGAAGATTGAAGAACTCGGTAACCTGTATCTTTGTCTTCTGGTGATACAAACTAGATAGTTTAAAATCTAGATATTAGTTTTATATAAAAGCATTACCTTCTAACAGGAAAAAAAGAAAACTAAGAAAAAACAAAATACAGGTTTTAAGAAAGATTGTGGAATTAATAGAATTGGGGAAGTCTGGAAGACTTCTTTTTTTAAAAAAAACTGCTTTTTTACCAGAGATCTGCTAGAGATCTGAGTTGAATACTAATTTAGGTCCTTGAGGGAGTGAGAATAGATATTTGGGTTGTGGTTTGTTTGATACTTGTGAATCTTTTTTGGCAGTTAGGGTGTACAGTGCTAAATTCAGAGACTTCCAATGATTGAATCTACACTGAGTTCTCAGAAAAGCCAGACTTGATAGCTCAGAATCGACTTCTAATTTTATATATATATATATATATATATATATATATTTATTTATTTATTTATGGGAATGGAGAAAGATATTAAATGACTTCACTGAATTCTTTCCAACATAATATACTACCCAGTGGGGTCACCACCTCTACTCCCCATAGCCAGACATGAGATTCTAAGGCATTCATGTTAGTAAGGACTGTGAGCATCCTGAACATTCAGAGGCACTCTAATAAGGCACATACTTGTTCTTCAACAATTTCCTAATTTGGTGACCATATGTGCATTACACTTCTGACATCCTAAAGCTTAGACAACTGCACAGCCTGCTGAACAGACTGCAGAGAACTTAACTAGTAGCACTTCTACAAAGTAAACAAAGAGTCTTCTACCCCCAAGTGCATGGGGCCAAGGGAGCCAGGCAAAGGAATGGGGTGATTTTAGATAAGTAAGACTGAAATCTCTTTGGCTTTCCTCCTCCCTTCTTCCTCTCTCTCTTTGGCTTATTTTTCTATTTCCATGATTCATCTGGTTCTGATATCTACAATTGATTTGATGTAACTAATATTCTAAAGGTGTCACCTTTCCAAGGCTATCCATAATATGAAAGGAGATTCATAAAGAGGAGGAGGTAAGGAATAACTTGGCAAATAATTTCTGGAAGATTGCCCATCCCTGATGGAAGCAAGTCTGACTTTCTTCTCCCTCTCCCCAAAATATTAGAGAAAGGGTAAGTTTCTCTTATAAGCTTTTCCACTATTCAATTTGTCTCCTTTAATCCTCATTTTAATCTTTGGCTTGCTTCTTCTCACAAATTGTCCCTTGAGAAGCAAATTAGAACAAGGATAGGCCCTGTTCTAGAAATATGCTCAAATTTGGGAAGACCTAGTTAGGAATAGGTAGGAGCCTTGATATATGCAAATACCTGATACACACGGGCATATAAGACCATATGTGTGTTCAATGGTGAGTCTCTGTGTGGAGTAGAGGAAGGTAGGAGGAAGAGACCAGGGAGAATGATGAGTAATGATAGTTCTACAATCGTTTGGAGACTAGAATTATTACATTGCTCTTTCCTCAGGCTCCCCATGATTTGAGCAATGACCTCATATTAGCTACACTGTCATAATGGCTTTTGGATACTCAGAGTGCAGACACAGCTTCTCCTAGGAATTTATTACCTCTCTCAAAAAGCTATCTGGGTGTCCATGAAAGATGCTGGCACTAGTATTAATTCTTTTTTAAAAAACTACCTTCTCCTTGAAGTAAACCAAAATGGATAAAAATCAATGAATTCATAGAAAAGAAAATTCATTAAGATTGAGGGAATATTTAAAATCTCATAGCATAAAGCTGTGAGAAATATATGCCTATTCACCATCCCCAACATGGAGAAATTGCACAGTTGGAAAGATAATTAACACACTTGTAGTTCATTGCCTGTAACATAGGGTCAATTGTGGCTGACAGGCCTAAGATAGGAAATATAGCTATGCCAACTCATTTTTTTTTTCCTTTCTGTTCCACCCAGCTTCCTAACAGGAGAAAGGAGGTGTGAGGAGGGTACAGGGAGGTTCATGGCTAGAGTGATAAAGCTCTATCTTTATCTTTGGGGATATATCAGTATGTTCAGCTTTTGATTCTTGGCCAAGATAAGTGCAATGAGATTTATGATGTGTTGTTTAATGTCTGACACTACCCTGGTGATCCCCTAGGTCAGTTTCTTTAATGATGGTTTCCAGCTGGCATAACAGATTAAGTAAGCCTGGCTGATGACACAGCCTAAAAGGCATTAAAACCTCTGCTCAGAAATTTTACTTTGAGGTCATCCAAAGTCAGGATTTTTTACACAGAGCTTGTTGGTTTAAGTTGGAGACAGTGGACACAGTGTGGTCTATGCATACAAATCAAGACCCTGGAGAGCTTAGGCACATGATACCTTTTGGATTCTCAGTGTCTGTATTTTCTTTTGTTTGATGTGCTATATCTTGTGACTTTAAATAAAAGTTTTATGTGAGTATATTCTGTGGAGTCTGGTCAGCCATTTCAAACTTATGAATTTGCTGGTCTGGGGATGTGGCTCGGTGGTGGAGTGCTTTGACTAGCATGCCTAAGGCCCTGGGCTTGAACCCAAGCACCAGAAACAAATAAAAACAAATATACGAACTTGGGAAATCTTTGCATATGGGAAATCTCTACATAACATATAACTTCACATATAAAGATACAAAATATAAAAATACTTTATATGCTCTATTAAATGTATATACATAATACAAAAATATATACAATATTACATAAGTACAAAATATTAAAAATTCTAGTAGACAATTTCTAAAGAAAACTTATGTGCTGCTTTCAAGGTTCTTCAGTTTAAGCTGAGTTATCACCAAAGCAGGGAGCTTAATACTAAACCAGGGAACAAAGTAAAATTCAAGTGATAACCCCTTTTCATATATAGTACCTGGTGTGTATTATTCCTACCTTTTGAAACTGGCCCTTAGAGCAAAAGTATCAACGATGTATGGGAAAAGCATGCAGCCACACAGTTCCCTCATTGTAGATTTCTGTGGCCACTCCTTCCCTTCCACTTCCTCAAAGCAGCTTTCAATCATGTAGCCTAACTTCAGTGTATAGGCAAAAAGGATTAGGGAAAGGAGATTATGCCTATCTTATTTTATGGCAAGTAACAGGCCTAACTGGAATGTTAAACTGTTTAAACAATAGTACTTAGAAACTTTA